ATATATCAGAAGGAATTCGAACAAATGTTACAATCAATGCCTAATTTGACTCTCGTGGAAGGATTTCCCGATAATTTATGCGAGATGACCCGCGGACATGATAATTCGTTAGTCGTGCTCGATGAATTAATGTCTCATTGTTCCAGAGACCCGCGTGTCTCAGATTTGTTTACACGTGATTCCCATCACCTTGGCATGTCCGTGCTGTACCTTACCCAGAATTTGTTCCCGCCAGGCGAACGTTCTCGAACGATTAGTTTGAATAGTCACGTTATCGTCGTGTTTAGAAACCCACGTGACTCGCTTGGCGTTTCCACACTTGTCAGACAGATGTTTCCTAAACATACCGGATACCTTCTGGATGCATTTCACGATGCGACGAGCAGGCCTTATGGATATTTAGTCATCGATTGCCATCAGCTGACACCAGAGAACATGCATTTGAGGACCAACATTTTACCCGAAGAGAAACAGATTGTTTATGTGAAACGTGCTTAAAAGCTGAACGTGTATTGAAAACGGTTCATTTTCAAGATGTCGAAGCGCATGAAAGGAAGTCTACCGTATCTTCAGGTCATGGGGACATGCGGACCTAGACTACGTAAATTCATGATCAACAACGTTCCCCCGGAGGTCATCACCGCTATCTGCGAATGTTCCTTGAATTTGCTGAAAGGTGTCATCCCATTATCACCTCGTCAAAAGCGACGTTTAGCGCGTTACAAGACACACGTCCGCGATCTGGCCAGTAAGAAAGTGTCAAGAAAACGGAAAAAGCAACGCCTTAATCAAAAAGGTGGAAATTTATTGTCAGCTCTCTTACCACCCGTGTTGAGTGTACTCGGAAGTTTGTTAGTATGAAGCATGCGAAACGCATGGTATTGGTCCCAGAGGACGTGCTTAATCGTTATGAGCAGAAACAAAAGATCCCCAATTACAGCCAATTACAGCCAACATGATGCACCAGGATACGGCGATGTCAGAGATTCTTCAGAGTACAGACATATCCGATGCCGAAAAACAGAAATTGTACAATGCGAACATGGAAAGTTATCTGAGTTTGAGGCGGCAGAAGGACGATCAGATACCTACAGTCCGCATAGCACCGGATACGGAACAGAAGTCCAAAGAGAAAGCGCCTTTATCTGACGCGGACGTGATCGGTCATTTACCTGTATCCCTGCGCCAGAAAGCCGCAACTCTTTTGAGACGTTTGAAAGCAAGACCCGACGTTATTTCCTGGGACGAATCCGGTCAAGTTAAAGTGGACGGCAAAGAGATTCCTGATTCAAATATATCGGATTTGGTCAGCGATGCCATGCGGGCACGTAAGAATTTTAATCCCAAAGGAGCGCAGGAATTCTTTCGCGGGCTATCAAAGATTAATGTACCCAAAGACATTGCAAGAAACACGGAAAGATGGAATCAGGTTCAAATGGGCAGTCCGTCTGGCGCGGAAGAGGTTGTTTTTAAGACACCGCCACCGAGACCATCGCCACCAACATCACCACGTGCAAGTCCCGCGAAATATATCCGTGGTTTACTCAGAAGACAGGCGGCGAAACCAAAACAATGGCTTCCTTATTAAAAAATGTAACTGTTTGCATGTAATAATAAAATGTTTTTAAAACCAATTTTGTATTGACGTCAGTTCTTTGGGGCGGTATTTTTATGTACGGTTCGCATGTGGGACGCGAGTTTGTGCGCATGCGCAGAATAAAAAAAAGAACTCGCTATGGTTTTTTACAACAATTTTATTGAAAACATCTTTTTACTGAACTGATTAAGGTTAACATTAGAATGTTTTAACAATGCCTTAAAATGTCTCTTAACAAACTGGGATACTATTGTATCATTTAAGACCGTATCATTGTTAAATAAATGTACGATATTACTCATGCTCTGACCTCTTGCTCTATGGCTAAGGTAAAATATGCAATACTGGCCACATACATCCGACCAAACACTTTGCAATTTACGTCTATTAAAATCCCATGCGCGAGACTTTAAAAAGTCTCCAAACGATTTCCTATAGTACTCGGGTGCATGTCCGTAACTGTCAAAGAATTCTCCTTTCTCTTCCGATGGAAAGTAGAAGGCGACCCAGTGGGTACCGGGCTTGCTGCTCGGGTCTGTGTTCGCAACGAATCCACACGGATATCTGTCGATCGTCTGAGGTAGCTTGTCGCTAGGGAACACACCACAAAACTTCTTGCTTGTTACGGGATCTTGTTCCAAGGCATGGGTTATCTGGGCAGTATTCATCCGGAGTAATCGTAGACAACGTTTCTTTCGGAATCGATGTGCACGGTATTCTCGAACTCTCCGTAGCATACGAGACTCACAGCGGCTGCAGGTGCTGCGGAGAACTGGATATCAATGGCCAAATTTCCTTTCTGTACCACGTTAAAATGAGGAGAGGCTCCACACATGTCCGGTGTTAAATCAAAGGCGTACACGGCGTAACCTTCTGGAAATTCTTCTCGGGATATATCGTTTCCTGTGTTGTAGTACATTCTCCCCGTACCAGAAAACAGGGTGCTGAATGCTTCGATGTATTTAGGTGCTGCACCATAGGAAAGCTGCAAGAGTTTAAATGGCATTTCTTCTCCGTTCACAGTTATTCCAATGGAGGACACGCTGAAATGTTGAAAATTGTAGGGATTCTTTTTCAAAGCACCATTGAACGCTTCGCTTTCGACCAATCCGAAGACAAATGTTTTCGGCACCAGTCCATTGAAAAGGTTATCTTTCCTCCGGGTGGGATTCCCTGCGGGGACTATGAAACTCTTGCATTCGACGCGCCGAATAGGATAGATGGCCGGTCCTTTTTTCAACGCGATTTCGTGGGCCACGGAAATGCCTGGATTGACTTTCACTTTACGTATCTTGAGATAGGCATCGGTGAGTTTCACGCGGTAATCGGCATCGTCCTCGGAGGCCATCAAACAGAACTCGTCGCTGGTTCGATTCAAAATAACTTTCAGATCTACGTAACTCAACAGGAGACGTTCGGACATGAATATGTCGCTGAATATAGGTCCTGTCATTTCAACAGTTCCACTTGCTTTGCTGAAAACGTATCTTGCTCTGAGACCAGCGTTGCCATTACCACCTGCCACCGTAGGATTCGCGACATCCATTTTTCCTGCAGTGTCTTTGTAATACAAAGCAGCAGTGAGCTGTGAATCTTTTGCGGAGGGGCCATAATTCAAGAGGGTTTCCAAATAAGCACGGTACGCGTAGGTTCCGGTAGCCTGCGTGACTTGCTTCCCTTTCAAAAAGACATCCACTTGTTTGAACAGGCTGTGGAGGAAATTGTTCACCACTCCAACCTTAAACAGATTAGAAGGAAATTAATATTTGAAAACGCCGTATTCAATATGAAAAAACACCATACCTTTTCGGCTGCTCCGAGATTCGTGCCATCGGGTTTTGTCACTTTCGCTCTCAGCACGAGAATCGTTCTAGCAAGGTCCACATAATCTTCAGTGCCCGGAGACAGGAACGTAATGACACCACCATCGGCTACACTGGAAACGGGTTGATGATCTACCCAATGTCCTTTCTCTAAACTGATTTGTGTTGGGGGCACAGAGAATAGATCGAGTTCGCTTTTTGTGCATTCCTGCGATTTGGAATGTACGAGATTCATGATTTTAACCAAATATATCTTGAGCTGTTTTCCGTCTCTTGGTCTGTCTACGTCTGGATGTAGATGTCGATGCCTTTCTCTTTTTAACTGTTTTCCGTTTCTTGCTCTGACTGCGTCTGACTGTAGATGTCCTTCTCTTTTTAGCTGTTCGCTTTACACTTCTTGAACGCTTTACACTTCTTGGGCGCCTGGCACGTTTTCCTCTTTCCGTTTGACTCCTTAGTTTATTGATGGCTTTTCTTTTTGCAACGCTGGCAGCCTCTACGGTTCGTGCTTTTGCCGCTTCCTTCACGTTTCTACCAGCGAGAACGTCGCCCACAAAATCGGCACCACTCCTTAGGGCGATGTTTCCAAGAGCTTTCGCTCCGCTTTTGACCATGGGCATTACAGTTCTTGCCACGCTGCGGAACAGACTCCCCAGGCCGTACCCTGTCTGTTGCCCATATCCGGCTTGCCAGGGGCTGCCCCTGAAAAGGGGCATGCTACGCCCTTGTTGTTGATCCAAATAATAACGTACGTACGGATTATTCATCTTCCTCAAGTGAAGTATGTATGCTGTCTGAAATGTAGTGTTGTCAGCACCTTCCCCCGTTCGAATGGCACTGGATCGCCCGTGTCATTCCTTAAAAGAATTTTCACGTCTCCGAAGGATTTCGTTTGAACAGGCACGTATTGTATGTTGGTGAACGTTTTCGTAACGATATCGCCATACTTTCCTTCGACGGGAATGCTTCGAAGTAATTGCGCACTCGTATCCCCAACGATCTGCGGTTGAACGATATTGCAATACGTGTAGATCGTCGAAAAGATATTCAAATCGACTACGTGAGGACTTTCGCCCGTTTTGTCAATTTTTACCTCTTTTCCACCGAATCCCAGGATAAGGGACAATTTGTCCAATAAAAAAAGTTTGCATTTGGGTTTCAAGTGAACGGTCACTTTTCCCGTTAAGGCACTGTACGTCAGATATATGTCAGTATTATTACCGATCTCTTGTTTCAGAGCATCGTTCATACCTTTAGTGAACTCTTCCATAGTTTCGTAATGTCCGTACTTTATGGCCGCAGATGATATCCATCTATCGGTAGAACTCAAATAAAGGAAGTTAGTGTCCGCACTAATATCCCGCAGGGTATACCACGTGTAGGGATAAGAAATGGAATACAGTCCGACTTCCCAATTGCCATCCAAATCAATGGGTTGAGGTAACTTTACACGATATTCGGTCGTTTTGTTATCGGGAAAAACGTCCAGGGACGCATTGCTCGGAAGCGTGAGGTAAAAGTGTGTTCCGCTCATTATGAATTTCCGATGAGAATAACAAACGAACAGCACGTTCAACGCTTTAAATCATATTTATTTCAGAAGCGGGTACCCACGTGTTAAATTTATTGGGGTACCCTAACAATTTTACAAGATAATGTACATTATTGCCTCGTCCACGTTTCTTCAAAATTTTTTCAATTTCGTAGACGTCATCTTCCTTAATGATCTTTTGCAGCTCCTTTTCGTAAAATGTTCCTTTGAGTTCTTCACCGTCCAGATCTTTTAGCTTGTACACTGGAGGATCACGTGGTATTTGTTTGCTTATTGTAAAAATCTCTTTCCAGAAATTCGGCAAGTATCCCTTTTCAAATGTTCGTTTCATCTTGCTAATTCTCACTTGATCGCCAATCCTAAACTTGTACTTTACATTTCTCGCTACGCTGTGATCATCATACAGGGTGTGCCACACTTTCTTCTCGTTCCCAGCAGTAACGTCCACGGGTTTTGTCTTGATGCTACGGTGAACAGTATGATTGTAAGAATAGACCAGATCGGGTAACATGTCTACGTATCGCATGGTTTTCTTGGCTGTAAAATAGCGCCACATTTTGGTTTTTAGAGTACGAATCAGACGTTCCACGATAGAAGCTTTCGTTTCATTGTACGTATTGTACAGTTCGATGTCTTCTTCTTTCATCAACGCTCGGAAATGTTTGTTTAGAAATTCTGTTCCTTGATCGGTCATGATCTTTTCGGGTTTGCATCCAGATGTTAAAATGACTTTGAAAGCTTCGACCAGCGTAGGACCAGTCTTGTTTTTCAACGGAACTACCCATGCATATTTGGAAAAAACATCGATGCACACGAGTAGATAACGATATCCATCATTAAACTTCTGCATGGATTGCATATCCGCCAGATCCATTTGCCACTGTTGATCGATACCTCCCACGATGACACGGTTTCGTTTAAAATGGCGGCGCATGGGTTTATGCATCGTGTATGCATCTTGTTTCATCAGCCATTCATCAGCCTTCCTTTTTAACGTCTTCATACAAACGTTCCGCACCGCCAAATCTTCCGGGTCGTTTTGGATCGTAATACACGCTAGATAAGTAGTCATCCATGTTCACACGTAAAATGACAAAATCCTTTCATTCTTCAACGTTTTCAATACTATTCTCCTGGGTCTTTTCAATGGGATTGTAATTTTTGATGGTTTTACTACAATACCCCACTTGTACATGCCCCTCGAGATTAAGATCGTTTCTTCCTGCACTTATACCGATTCTAAACATTTTCTGTTTATTATGATTTTTATTAATCTTCGAATTTTTACTGGCAGAGTGTCCCATGACGTACACTCGAATATGAGAAGATTTTTAAAGGTGCACGCACATATAAAACGTTTTTTCCATTGGGAAGGGACAGTCATTACTTTCGATCAGACAAAGAGCAAACATGTCTAAACCTATAGATATTGACAATAAGGAATTCATTCTTTATCAACGTCAAAAACTTATCGTCAAGAAACTTTTAAAAGTTTCAGCTGAAGAAATCGCTTCTATCATCTCTCAGCTCGTTGTCGAAAACTGTAACGGTTGCATGACAGAGCATCTGTCTCAAACGCATCATCAGCGTCTTACGATGGAAAGAGACGAACGGTTATGTCTATACTTTGATCATGCTCTGGAAAAGGCTTCGGAAACAAAAGTGATGAAAGCTTTTACGGAAAGTCTGAGTGATATGAAAGTATATGATTTCGAATTAATTGAGTATACGGCGGACGATTGGAAAACTATCTTTTGCGTGGAGCACAGGCGGGCATTGAAACACGTGATCTTTCAGTTATTGTAACCTATAAAAGACACGATGTCTCTACAGATTTCATTTATCGTTGGACAGCGTCAGGATGACCATCGCTATACTATTTTTCATTAATGAGGAACTTGTGTTTCGTCGTAGCGTGTGTGCTACTAACCTGTACGATAAGATTCTAGAGGAATTTTCCGAAGAGGAGCTAATAAGACATGGAGTACCGTATTATGAAGACGACAAGGCAATTATAACAGACCAAGACTTTATCGAGAAAGTGTGGTATGCATGCGTCGAACACGGATACATTTCCGAGGACCGCGTCACAATGGGACAGTCCGTCAATGCATTACATATTGTTATGTAACCAAAATCTATAAAAGCTCAGTACCTTTCCTGATTTCACGATCATTCAATGCAGACATGACTTGGAGAAACATTGTCACTCACTGGCTCTCGGACAAAATTATTACGCAAGAGGGAAATTTGGCTACTCTGGATTTGATGAAACTTTTGATAGAGAAGAATATCATACCAGCAACGCTTATAGACAATCCGACGTTGCACGCTATCATATTGACGCAAATCATACTGGAAACATTAACAGGTATAACGGTACCTCGGGCCCCCCAGGGAAACACCTTTACTTATCATATGAACGCGAAAGAAATGTTGATGTGGGACATGGCTGGAAAAAACGAAAAGCAGATCGAGGCATTGGAAAAAGAAACGGGGGTGAATTTGGATCATTATCACAAACTGAACATCAGAAATTAACATTGAGATCAAACGATCTCGCAAATATATTTATTTCAACTGTTATTAGTACCCATAAGGTAATGTTTTGTAATCATCTACAATAAAGCGTTTATCATAAACTATTCTGTAGTCTTTTCTCATGCGTTTGGTTTCAATGTTTTTGGTCCTCGTGTTCCGCGTTATCTTTAACGGTATGTCCACAGTAACTTGCCCCGTAACATTACATTTGTCATGAAGATACACGAGCGAACGAATGACATCAAAATTCACTTTTTGCATGGCGGTACAATTCAAGGTAATCCCCCGTATCTTCGTCTCGACCTTGTTGGTACTAGTCTTGTAACAGTAATTCTTCGGACCGCCCGAGATGAAGGTAGTAATATGTCCTTCTTTCAATTCGTTGGTCAATTGGCCTAGGTCAATTGGCCAACACCCCATAGAGTTTGAGACGGGCATAAGCGGTGGTAAAGGCGGCGATGACTACGTTCGTTCTGGCGTTGGGTTCGACGAAGTTCTCGTACTCGTAACGAAGCTCAACCATTTCGTCGCTTACGAATCTCACGTCGAGAACATTGATTTCATCCGACGATAGATAGTCGAAGTACACTTGGGGATCTTTAATCAGTTCTACTTTGGCCATATTGGACCGTTGTGCGAATTTTCCTAAGGGGAAAAAATCTAATATAAGTACCTGTAAAAGATAAGTTTACCTCGCCGTCCTTGCGAGAACATTATCGTTTAAAAAATACCTACCCCAAAACGAATTCAACATCAGTTTGGACAGTGCACGCATCCCAGGATTGTGTTCGATCTTTTCTCGGTCTAGCTGTATACCTTCGACTGCCAAGTATTCGTCGACGTACTGCTGTTTCTGTTCCTCGGTGACACAATTCTTGGGATAACCACTGGATTCTTGCTTGATTTTGAGGAAATTGTCCACATAATCCTTGAACAGCGCGTCGGAGGTTTCGGGAAAATGCCACACTTCGTGCATTTGGAGGATATGGTAACCTTTCTCCAGGGCTTTCTCTAATTCCACGCTGCACCAGGTTCCTTGGATAGCTCTTTCACGCTCGGAATGAGTACAAGGGGCTTGGTTACACGTATCAGCGCAGGCTTTGCACAGAGGAAACATCAGTTTGCCTTGGGTTCGATAGGGAAGGACGGGATGGAAAAGTCCACGAGGTGGTAATACCGTGCACTTGATCAAGCCAAAGTACGTGGTAATATCATCAAAGTTTTCAGTGATGATACGGGCCGACCAATGACCGTTCTGGTCATCTTGTTACACCAGGGATAGAGACTGGTGAAGTCGACGTACCTGTAAGAAAAACGGACATTAGACTCCCGTTCCTAGATCTATTGGGATGCACTAACAATATACCTTATCTTCTCATCCTCTTTGCATTCGTGGAAGAGTTTCGTTGCGTTGGTTCGACCACCATAGAAAGCATGTCGTGGTTCCAAAGGATCCACCACATCGTAATCCTCGAAATACTGTTTCATGTCTTCATCGTGTTCCAGTTCTTTCTTCATGTTGCACTCCCACATTTCGACAACATGGAGGCCACGATCTTTAAGGTACTGGGTCTTTTCCATGGTGGCTTGATGGAGATCATGCATGGTCTTTCCACTGACCTTGTTGACGGTGTCCCGTGCATAACATTTCAAACACCCTGTAAAAAAATATTTCGTTAAAGTACTGTACCTATGTAAAAAACTGACCCTCTAAAAAACTTACCGTGCCAGAAACAGCCATGGAATTCATATGCTGTATGTGTTTCCTCATCATAGCCATCCAAGGAATATTGACCAACAGTCTTCTCTCCACCATTCCGTTTATGTTGAATGTACACGTCATTCTTCTCGGCTGTGTAAGATAACCATTTCAAGGCGATGTTGGATTGCTTGATTCCTGGATGATAGCCGTGTGGAGGCAAAATGGCAATGGTGTTTTCTTTAAGGAAATTCGTCCGAAACACGAGATTGCACGCTGACGCAATGGTTAGGCATTTCTCGAACGGGTCAATGTCGGTGACGTCACGGAACAACTCGCGAAATTCAAGGCAACAACGTCGAAGGATATCCACATCGGACCGACAGTAACTCAGGATTTCTTCTTGGAAATTGAACACAAAATTGTTCTCCTTCAATTCCTGATGCCATTTCAAAAACGTCTCTTTCTCTGCCGGACTCATTCCATTGGGATGGTAATAAGGACTCGGTGGTAGGGGTCCAACATATTTCTGGTTTTCCTTCCTGTTGAAGAGGTGAGGGAAATATCCTTTTGCCAGCTCGTTCAAACCAAAGGTCTTGGGAAAATCAGCCAGTCTCATTGGTATGAAACTCAAGGAATCGATGAATTTAATCTTGAGCATAGGTACATACAATGTAAGGATCTTGGCACCACGCATGATGACTTCAGGAGTAACACCGTTCTCGTGTAGGTATTGTTGGATGAAATAACCATCGTAGCCCTGAAAATTATGGGCCACCACGATGCATCCTTCATGTTCTTTTGTGAACAGCCATTCGCAGAACTCGTTCCTGGTATTATCTCCTTGAAACACCCATTCGTCACCAGCCTCGTTTTGAATTACGCACAAGTTCGGTTCGTGAGTACCATTCTCTTGGATGCACTCAAAATCGAAGAACAGTAGTTCGTTGTATCCGCTTTCGTGGACGTCCTCATCCGCTTCGTCATCACATAAATCAGCCTCACGTGCAGGTTTTTCCTTGACAGGTTGCATGTAACATTGGTGGTCCTCGATGCCCACGTATTTTTCACAGGTTGAGCAACGCTTCAGTCCGCAGTGATGCAAATCAGTCCTCAGTTGAGTCCGTTCGAAAACACGATTACAATGAGGACATTTGGCAGTAGACAAACAGATCGATTTTGCATTTCCTACGTTTTGTTTGTGCCGATCGAAACATTCTTGACTTTTAAAAATACGGTTACAATCACTACATGAAATCCACGAAACAATCGGACAATTTTGAAAATGGCACAATTTACACATATCTCCGCATAAATGATCCCTTTGATGATCATACCCTTTTTTACAAGTATGGCAATACATTTTACGTGCAATAAAAGCCGGCATGCTTGTAATCACATCGAAATGATTGTCATGCAAAAACAAATAGATCCTTTTCCCTTTATCAGGTCCGGAAAAAATGACAGAATTTTGATGCTCTTTTGAAACAATGTTGATTTGATAATCGGTCAAATACGTTTGAAATTGTTTGACTTGGTCTATACCGCAAGAACCTATAGGAACACCTGCTTTCTGGTGCAAATCATAAGCTAAACGTGTTTGCATTGGCCAACGAAAATCACTTATACTTTTATATCGGCTATCGTTTTCAATTTTGGCAATCGAAACAACTAAAGCTCGAGCTAAACATAAATCATCCTTGTTTTGAATACGAACAATTGCCCTTTTATTGATCAAATGCTTTTCCAAATTAATTTCACTGCGTTTTGTTCCGGTACCGCCATTGGGCATTTCAACATGGACCAAATTCACTCTGACACTATCGTTTAGACGAAATTCATGGTTAGATTGAATAACGCGCTCAATTTGAGCTAAAACCCGCTCTGTTGTCAAATGAGAAAGAGCCATGAAAGGAAGAGAAATAGGTTTTTCAAGCTGAGGTGAATGCAACACAAAACGTACTTGATCATGCTCTGGAATATCTCGTGTAATGGTATTCAACATACTTTCAAATATTCCATGCAGACGGTCGTGGAACTGAGAAAGCTCCAAATGAGCAAACGTGTCCGTGAATTGTACTGTATAATCCACACCTGTCGTGCTGAATTTTTTCACTTTAACTTGTTTCATATTTGTCACGGTAAAAAAGTTATCGCTAACCTCGTCAGTTGCACTGTCATTCACTTCGTCTATGGATCGTTTCTCGCCACGGCCCATCTGCAACAGGGGGTCATCGTTTTGCCATTCACGTATGAATCTTTCACGCTGTTCCGGTGTCCAGGTGTCCGTAAAGTCAGCCGTAAGCCCTAGCTGCTCATTTTCTGCTCTCCATTCCGATATTCGACGAAAAATTTCCAATTTCCTCTCGAAAAGAATGCGTTGTTCCACTTCATTCAACAAATATAGCCTTTCCAGGGTTGATAATTCAGCTATTGTCTGACACTCTGCAATTTTAACTGCCAAATCCATGTCTAAATAAAAATACTTTTGTTTATTTCCTTTCTATGACATACAACAAGCCATGAAGGAACTTAATACTTTTAACAAACTATAGAACTCTGTATCAAGAACCGAAACTTTTATAATAAAAAGGTATAAATCGTCCGGTATTGTTTTCAAAAATCATCTAAAATCTAAGTTGCTATGGCAACCGCTTGCAATAACTTCATGATAAATCAACTCTTTTAAAGCAAAAAATTCTTGCGAAACGCTTTATTTATGAGTGCTATAAACAAAACTGTTTTGCTTAAATACCTTTTAACGTTGAAAAGGAACACCTCGTCTGCAAAGTTCTGACCAGTTAATATCTGTGAATAACTATAAACAAAAATCGCGAAACGACAAATATTCAGCAAAGTTCTATCGGTAAAAACTATAAAACAAAAATGCCTTGCCTAAGTTCACATATAAAAAGTTTATCTATATAGTTTGTTAATTAACTTAAACAACATACCTTTAAAAGTTGAAAGCAGCAAGTCTTTATACTAAGAAAAAAACCACTCGCGAAACGTCAGTAAAGTTTTCTGTGTGAACAATATATCAAAGCAAATCTTTCAAAGTTCTCTCTGCGAAAGCTGTGTAAACACTACGCTCTTGTAAATTCGAAGACCTCAATTTATACAGTATATTAAATCCGGTTCGAACTGGTATATATTGTAGCGCTTAATACAAGGATTATATTTTTTACAATAAACGTTATGCGACAAATCTTTCGCGACAAATAGTTGCTGACGTCATCTCAAAAGATCACGCAATAAACGTTATGCGACAATGTTCCAAAAATGACGTCACTCTTATCCCTAAAAAATGCTGACGTCCTATGGCGGGAAAAATGCTGACGTCATATGGCGGGAAAAATCTCGCTATATGGGGGGGCACATCTACTGTCGGTCAACGCGTAATTTCAAGTTTTTCTTCGCTTCCTTAACAGTATATTTATATGGTAAAATCATTACAATCTTAACTCGTTGAATTAGAGACCTTACGATTTTAGGACGGCAACGCGACGACGACGGCCAAAACAAACTCCGTCAAATAAATGGTAGTATTAAAGGCCACTATTTGTTGTATATTAGTTTCTCATCCGGAGCGAGGGACGCCGGAACGATAAAAAGGCAAAGGGGGGCAGACGCACACCAAGGGCACCTCTATAGATCAAAAGTTCAAAATCTACCTGAATTTTTTTTTTACATGGACATTTTTTGGGGCGACCCCCCGTCGCCAAAACAATTTCGGTCAGTGTACCATTTTAGGGTTCAAAAATTTTTTACGGACATACCAAATTTTTCCGTGACGTAAAAAAAATTTCCGCACATCAGCAATTTTCCCCATTTATCCAAAATATTTTTCTAAAATCCAAAAATTTTCTAAAATTTATGTAAATTAACCTCATTCTTTTCCAAATTCACACTTATTTTTGTAAATTAACTTTCTCTGGGCCTATAAATTACCTGAATCTCATAATTTTGCCCGAAAAAGCATCACTGGAAATGTGATTTATCACGTAGTATTTTACAACTAAAAGTGCACTTCTGCACCCCTTGCCCCCCTCCTAGCAAAAGGCAAGAGGGGAAGCTGACCCCTGACCCCCAGTTCCGGCGTCCCTCCGGAGCTTCTCCTAAAGTTGATGCGGGCTGGCGGGCCATTACCATTATGCCATTATTTGTTGGATTTCCCCTCCCCATAAAATTTATTTTGGAAAAATGCGCATTAAGCATTTATAGAGCAACTTTCTGAAAAACAGCACAAAATCAGTAAGTGCAACTGAAAGCATGTTTTCATAATTTTGTACCCAGAACGTCTGGCGTTTTTTCTCCCCTGCCCCTGGCTTCCGGTAGAACTTTTATAGCTGAGTTTGGATATTTAATAAGTGTTTACGTAATGCGGGAAAAACTTGTAGTTTGGTTATGAAATTTTG